CATAGCTCCATTATTGCTATCAACCCATTTTCTATTTCTTTTTTTTTTATCTTATTATTATCTTATTATTATTATAACCCAAAAATTAGAAAAAGTAGAAACTTTTGCTATAGTAAGAAAAATCGAATATATTTAACATATTTAATATATTTTATATATCGAATATGTTGTAAACAAGTATTAGTAGAGTGCTGCTAGTGCCTTTTTATGAACTACTCGCTATGAAAACAATAAATTACTCAATATTGAAATCAGAAACTTGCTCACGATTGAAATAACGGATTCACTTAGTTAAAGTACCAACTATCAAGATTAATAACTTGCCTACTGTTAAAATTATAATCCACCACATTATTAAATTACTAACCCACTCACTGTTGAATGACAAACCTACCCACTATTAAAATTATTATAAATCTACCTGCTTCTATTTCTGAAATAATGAACATACCTACTACTGATTACCCACTATTAAAATTATGAACCTACCCACTATTTAGTGTTCACAAAAAAGAACCAGTTGAAAACAGCATTTTTAGTTGGCATAAAAGTGGTATTCTACAAAAGACACCCGTATTGAAGATAGTATGTATAACTGTGTAGGAAGAATTACACCATAAATGGGCTTCAATTTGTATTTTCTATTTGTCTGTTACCAGTAGCAAGCCTTCAAAGTCCTTCAAAGTTTTCGGTTCCAGTTCGGTCCTGGGTCTGGGTCCAGTGACTTTGAAGATTACTACTAATGACAGATATGCGGAAGATACAAAGTGAAGCCTTTTTCTAGTGTGGAATTGTCTATATTATCATACATACAATGTTTAGTTCAGGTACCTTTAGTGAAATACTATTTTTATGCCTACTAAAAATACTGGTTCCAACTGGTTTTTTTTGCAGAACACTACCACTGTTAATATCGCAAACATACCTACTATTGAAATTATAAAATTACAAATTTGAAAATGTAAGAAAAATCAATAAATGCTGTTTAAAAACCTTTCAAAAATTTATTTAGCTTTTAGATTTTCAAAACAACGAAATAAACAAAATATACAGAATGTAAACATATATATATATATATATTTTACCTATTTTTTTTGACCTAACATTTTCAGTCTTGCTTCAATAAAGCTTCTGATTTTTGATAAGACTTTTGATTTTGGTAAGACTTTTGGCCTTCAGTACTACTTCGACTTTCAGTTTCATATAATAAATTTATTAAAGCATCTCGATATACCAAAAATATTTTCTGAGCTACCTTTAATTTTAATAAACGTAGTATGATTTAGAATCCTAAAATGAAGTAGTGCAAGTAATATGTAAAGGTTTAATAAACCTGAATACTATATCTTGTTTATAATATTTTTATAAATTCTGTGATATCTAAAACTTTTCTTGTCTTTCAAAACCTCTCCGATCTTATCCCAAGAATTATCTGACTTTTCGTAAACTACTTCGCTATCTCTGTATCAAAATTCCAAGCACAGCGAAGTAGTTTTCGAAAAGTTAGGTAATTTTTAGAACGAGATCGAAGAGGTTTCAGAAAATGAAAAAATTTTTATCTATCTAGAATTTATAAAAACAGCTATAAATATGATCGTAAATTATTTATTAAAGTGCACTTCACAATTACTCAATCAGATATGATGCAAATTTTAATCTGAAAAAGCAAACTATGACCAATTTGGTAATTGCAGATTTCTTATCTATTCTGTTTTTTTTTCATAGTCATAAGATTTAAATTTGCATATAACTGAAATGATTGGTAAAAATATACAGGTCACTCATGACAGGTGATGATTATTGCTCAGAAGTATACTTCACAATTACGCAATCAGATTTGATACAACTTTTAATTTGAAAAAAATTTTGCATCAAAAAATTTCACATAATCATGACCGATTTGGTAAATATGTCATAACTGCAGATTTCTGTCCATTCTGTCTTTTCTCATAGTCATGAGATTTTAAATTTGCACATGACCGAAATGATTGGTAAAAATGTATAGGATACTCATGACAGATGATTAATTTTATTATAAAAGGGATATCGTATTTATTAAATTTAGTAAACTCAGATGAGTGTTATTAGGGAAACTTGTTATCGAGAATGAATTGACAATTAATTAATCATACAAAAGATCAAAATGTTACATAAGTATATATTTTAAATAGCAATCAAAAATTTTTCACACTCAGATCATGGTTTTTGGGTATTGTCAATCAAAAATGTTAAAACGGACAAACACTGAATTAGAATGAAACTATTACTGTTGTAAAATAGTTCATTACAAAAAAGAGTTAACTTGTAATTTTCTCACGATCATTATGAAGTAATTATAACATATGATATGTATATTTATAATATCTACTAAATTAGGAAAAAAAGCGATAGCTATAATGCTTTCTAAAATAGAAAATAATATAACGCACCAAAAAGTTGAACGGTACCATCCCTCCACATTTCATATGATCGTACTGGTAATTATATTTTAAACAAAAGAATAAATTGTATGAAACTATCCATCTATTATCAAGATAGTGACTAGCTTTTCTAATCTTATAATTAGTGTTTCTTCTATGATAAAGCGGATAACTATTTTTATTCACAATAGTTGTACTATTATAATCATATAGATAATGTTTACTATATGTACTATCTTTTATATAGGGAGAAGATGGTTTAAGAGAATCACAAGGACTATAAATCATATGTTTAGTAACTATTTGATAAAGCTAAAGTTGAGTAATTAGATTAGAAATCTTAGCAGAAATCAAATTGTCATAATCATCAGAAGTTTGTGGTTTATCTTTAGTAGTAAGTATAATAAGTATGTGAGCATGTAGTAATTCTCATTTTTGAGGTTTAATAATATGAATGTGAGCCACACTAAGACCTAAAACACATTTTTTATTCAAATTATCAGTAATTTCTTTAAGCTTCAATCTAAAAACCCTTGAAATAATATCAAAATGATTATTAGATTTTTGGCCTTGTAGAAGATTCTTAGTTATTTCAGGCCAGTTAGGATTATAGATAATAGTTATAAAAAGATTAGGCTTACTGAATTCTCTTACAGTAGCCATAGCATCCTAATATAACTTTTGCATATATCTCTTTGAACTAGTAAATAAGGAAGGCAAAATAATTTTTTTTCTAATTTCAAGAAAATTAGCTTTATTATTATTAATAATATCTTCTAATCCTTTATAATATTCAACTCATAATTAAAGTTGATTATTTTTAAACTATCTTAATTATTTTGTTTCTATTTTGCATACTGGTTAATGATATATTGCTAAAATAAGCAACTAGCAAGATGTAAAATACTATTAGAATCTCTTATTTGTAATCTATAACATGTGAATTCTCTAATTGTTATATATTTTCATTGTTGCTAAAAATCAGTAAGATCTAATAGTAAAGTATTTAATTGATTATAATTAAAATTTAAATTATCATTAGCATTAAAACTTTAATCAGTTATAGTTGAATACATAATTTCAGTATGCCATCAATATTCTTCTCTTGGAAAAAGGAGTGGATACTGTAAAGGATTATAAATACCATATAATTCTGAGATATATTGCAAAGAACCCTGTTGTGTAGTAAGAATAATATTTCTTCCAGAGTCAATTGTATTATCATTAGTGATTATAGCAGCAATTTCAGAAGCAACTGGTAAATTATAATTTCTCATATCTTGGGAAAATACATTAGAAATTTTTAATTTTAAAGCAGGATTTCTTGTAACCTGCCGTCTAGCACTTTGAAATATTTGAACAAAAAGATTAATATGATCAAGTTCAGCTTGCAAAAATTTCATCATATCCAAATTTAAATTTGGTGATACTTCATTCCTTAAAGCAAACTGGGTATCAAAATTACCATTATAGAAATAAATTTGTGCAAATTTAGACTACCAACTTGGTAATATTAAAGAATCTATATTATGATATAAAGCTCCTTGAATTCTAAAAATATAAGTTTTGTCTACTTCAAATATGCTATAATCTGTAGTTATACCCAGGGTTTAAAATTGGCATGCACAAGATGCACATGTGCATGAAATTTGTTTGGATTTTTTTAAATTTTTTAAAAATCTATTAAGTATGCATATAAATTTTTTAAAAAAAATGCACAAAATACATTTGTGCATGTAAATTTTTTTTTTGAATTTTAAACACTGATTATATCTAAAGATGTAAAAGCAAAAGCAGAATTATAGGACCTTATATTTTAAACATATCTTTCACCAGTAGTAATATCAAACCTAGTTAATAACTGTGATATAGCTAGTGGAGATGGTTCAAGTAATGCTAATTTAATTTTATCATTAAGGTAGCAAAATCCTGGTAATTCATTTTTCTACTTTAAAGCTTGACAATAATTATATCTTATTTTTAAATTACTAAGTTTATGTTGCCAAATAGATAAATCAAAACTGTCATCTAATTTAAAATTAAAATTATCTAAACTATATCTTGCAATATTTCTTATATATTTGCTTGTTATTTTGAATTTGTTGTTCTATAAATTCTATGCTGTATTTTATTAGTTTCTCTTATTTGGTTTTGTTAATATGTTGTTAAATTTTATGATATTTTTGTTATTTTAATCAAAAATATTCTCTTTGTTGTAAATTTGTTGTTAATAATTCTAATATTGTTGATTTTGCAAATTTTGCTGATAGTGTTGTTAAAATAAAAAATTGTGATCCACTTGATGTTGATACTAATTCTAAGCTTGCTAGAATTAGTATTATTGTTAAAAATGCTTTTGTTGCTATTGTTGTTACTAATATTGTTGCAGATATTGTTTTTGTTATTGCTGCTATTGTTGTTGCTGTTATTGCTACTGTTGTTGCTACTGTTGTTGCTACTGATACTATTGTTATTGTTAAAAGTGATATTGCAGATGTAGTTATAGATGCTTCAATTATTGAATTAGGATTTTCTTTATACTATTTAGTAATGGCTTTTCTTTTTCTATCTAATCTTCTAGTTTTTTCAACTTTTGTTTCTAGTAGTGAAGGTTCTTTATAACTATTATCATTAGCAATATGTGGAGAAGTAGAAGAAGTTTTACATTTTGATGACATACTTAAATTTTAAATAATTAAATTAAATCTATAATTAAAAATTAATAAGTTAGTAAAAATAATAATTTAAAATTTACAAATTTTTATAAAATAAATATATTAAATTATAAATTAAAATAACAATTAATATATAAGCTAGTAAAATATTAAATTATAATTATATATATTAAAAGAATTTAGAATCAATAATCTCATAGT